AGCTATTGTTGTAGAAGACATTCGCGTGTGTTTTCAGCTATTGTTGTAGAAGACATTCGCGTGTGTTTTCAGCTATTGTTGTAGAAGACATTCGCGTGTCTTTTCAACTATTTAATAAATGTCCGTGCTATATATTGTAAATGTTATTTTAATGTCAAATGGTAGAAAATATAGTGAATATAACCTGCTTCTATATAATAAATCCAGTATGTTTTGTTTACCTTTTCCTGACAACAATGAATGGACATCTTTTACTTTTTTTTATCTTAGTGTAAACTTAGGTAGTGTTTCTGGCATCTTAAGAACCCCTACACCCCTGTCGTGTTTTCTCTTCTTTTGACGACGTTTCGGTCTTTCTACTGAGGTACTGAAGGCCTCATCAACGTCGCCAAAAGAAAACACGTCAGTTAGTATTTTTTGGCCGCAAGAGACTTCTAAAGGAAACGTATGCCAATGTTCTGTTTCTAAAGTCGAATAGAAAATAATTCAATTCAATTCATGTTTTGTGTTCTATAAAAGGACAGTAGCGCTAACAAAAGAGGTTATTACGTCATTTAACTATATACAACGGCCGTTTCAGCTGAAGCATTTAATTCGTTTATCAGAATATGATGCCCTCACTCTGGCAATGGAATTTAAAGATTTAATGAAAGAATAAGTACCCCCCTCCTTAATTCTACGTTTCGAACACATTTTATATGATTACAATTTAACCATCATCACATTTCATTTTATCCTTCTAATTCGAGTACGTAGGCTTGATACAGGAAGAAGATGTAGGGTATGGCAGCATATGTTTGATAACAATACGTATGTCGTATTCACAATATTTAACGTGGAGATCAGCTTGTGTTTGATAACAATACTTATGTCGTATCAGTGTTTAATGTGAAGATCAGCTTGTGTTTGATAACAATACTTATGTCGTATTCACAGTGTTTAATGTGAAGATCAGCATTGTGTTTGATAACAATACTTATGTCGTATTCACAGTGTTTAATGTGGAGATCAGCTTGTGTTTGATAACAATACTTATGTCGTATTCACAGTGTTTAATGTGAAGATCAGCATATATTTGATAACAATACTTATGTCGTATTCATAGTGTTTAATGTCAAGATCAGCTTGTGTTTGATAACAATACTTATGTCGTATCCACAGTGTTTAATGTGAAGATCAGATTGTGTTTGATAACAATACTTATGTCGTATCCACAGTGTTTAATGTGAAGATCAGCTTGTGTTTGATAACAATACTTATGTCATATCCACAGTGTTTAATGTAAGGATCAGTTTGTGTTTGATAACAATACTTATGTCGTATCCACAGTGTTTAATGTGGAGATCAGCATATGTTTGATAACAATACTTATGTCGTATCCACAGTGTTTAATGTGAAGATCAGTTTGTGTTTGATAACAATAATTATGTCGTATCCACAGTGTTTAATGTGAAGATCAGCTTGTGTTTGATAGCAATACTTATGTCGCATCCACAGTGGTTAATGTGAAGATCAGCATATGTTTGATAACAATACTTATGTCGTATCCACAGTGTTTAATGTGAAGATCAGCTTGTGTTTGATAACAATACTTATGTCGTATTCACAGTGTTTAATGTGAAGATCCATCAACCCAGACAAAAAGCTAAAAGAAATCACCAAATTCTTGCGACAATGTTACGTTTTTGATTAAAATTTTGTTCTTATATTTCTTTACCAAAAATTTCAATTCTAGGACTGATTAGAACCTCTGCGTTTGATACAGCTGAAGAATTGGAGGAGTACCAAAACTAAACTTGGAAAATACTCATTTTCAAAGGCAATAATTTTGTTTCATGTTCATTCATATCACCCAATACTAACTGGACTGACTGAGGATAATTTTCAGTACTCAAAACTGCAGGGGCCGGACGTTCTACTGTGTGCATCCAAGGGTTCATTGGTCGCATCTCGTGGTCGCAAAATCGAGGACCACTCTTTGAAATCGTGAGTTCATTACAAGAGTGACAACCAAGTTCAACTATTCGATTAGAATGGCCCCAAAATTGACGCTGGTTATAGTTGAATAGCTACGTTCTCTCTAGTCTATCAGTTGAAAATTAGGTACGGTCAGCACATATACCTCATTGTTTTTTTTTTTAAGGTTTGTGCGACTATCCGAAATAAACAAACAAATCAAGACTTCAAAACTGACATGACTTTGGTAAGAGGACTGTCTCTTCACGAAACTAACCTGGTATAAGAACTGTCTCTTCACGAAACTAACCTGGTATGAGGACTGTCTCTTCACGAAACTAACCTGGTATGAGGACTGTCTCTTCACGAAACTAACCTGGTATGAGGACTGTCTCTTCACGAAACTAACCTGGTAAGAGGACTGTCTCTTCACGAAACTAACCTGGTATGAGGACTGTCTCTTCACGAAAGTTTACACAGAGTTTGATTTGTTTGTTTGTTTTGAATTTCGCGCAAAGCTACACGAGGGCTATCTAGCCATCCCTAATTTAGCAGTATAAGACTAGAGGGAAGGTAGCTAATCATCACCACCCATCGCCAACTCTTTTACCAACGAATAGTGGGATTGACCGTCACATTATAACGCCCCCACGGCTGAAAGGACGAGCTTGTTTGGTACCCGCGACTCTCAGATTGCGAGTCGAGTGCCCTAACCACCTGTTCATGCCAGAGTTTGAACTGACTCAGCTTGGCACTTTAGTTAGATGTATGAGAATATTGTTTTCCTCAAGCAGTGAGTTATAAACAGTCGACGATGGTGCCACTAAGATCCACTTTATATTATATTAAGATTAAGGCTTATTAGAATATCTATGTTGGGCATATTAGCGCATTTCTAGACCCTAGAAAGTTATCAGATGATCAAACCGTTTCGTTTTCTCATGTTGTCGTTGCTTAATTAGGCATATTAGCGCATTTCTAGGTCGTAGAAAGTTATCAAGTGATCAAACCGTTTCGTTTTCTCATGATGTCGTTGCTTAATTAGGTACAACAATAAATACCTCTTAACATTATGTGTTGAGCTTAATCGAGGAAACCATAATTATAATGAACTATTAAAATGAATTAATTATCAACCTTTACGTAAATTCTGAGAGACTAGATAGCATATTTAGTTAAAACTGCAAAGACACTCTAAAGGCCGCAGTCGACGCCGAAACAGTTTAGGTCTCGTTTTTTATATATATTCTTAGCTTAGTAAAAGGAAAGGCTTAACATTGTTCGCTCACGTCTAGAGGGTAAAAGTTATGTTCAATATAACCTACTTCAATAGTAGTGTATATCCCGACGTTAAACAAACACAAATTATACAATATAACCTACTTCAATAGTAGTGTATATCCTGACGTTAAACTAACATAAATTATAAAATATAACCTACTTCAATACTAGTGTATATCCTGACGTTAAACTAACATAAATTATACAATATAACCTACTTCAATAGTAGTGTATATCCTGACGTTAAACTAACACAAATTATACAATATAACCTACTTCAATACTAGTGTATATCCTGACGTTAAACTAACACAAATTATACAATATAATCTACTTCAATAGTAGTGTATATCCTGACGTTAAACTAACACAAGTTATAGAATATAACCTACTTCAATAGTAGTGTATATCCTGACGTTAAACTAACACAAATTATAAAATATAACCTACTTCAATACTAGTGTATATCCTGACGTTAAACTAACACAAATTATACAATATAACCTACTTCAATAGTAGTGTATATCCTGACGTTAAACTAACACAAATTATACAATATAACCTACTTCAATAGTAGTGTATATCCTGACGTTAAACTAGCACAAATTATACAATATAACCTACTTCAATAGTAGTGTATATCCTGACGTTAAACTAACACAAACTATAAAATATAACCTACTTCAATACTACTGTATATCCTGACGTTAAACTAACACAAATTATACAATATAACCTACTTCACCATATAAAGAATAGTTTTATCGTAGTACAACCAAATATAGTGATTGGGAATGGTCATCTCCTGAAACGTGACCTTCTTGGCATTCTTGAAGAAAGAGTCCGGTCTCCACATACGTTTCAACCAGCTGACGGGTAGAAGACGATAATAGCTGGTCATGTTTTCTGGAAGTCGAAGTCTGTGATCCTTCCAGCTTTGAGACAGGAAGATGTCCGCAACGTAGGTCTGATACGGAAGAAAACGTTTTAGAACCTTTACTAAAAACATCAAAATCCGTGCAACCAAAGAAAAATACTGTAATTATAGCACATTAATCGGCTTGTATTATTTGTCTCTTTTTCATAAAATTAAATTATTTTTTTCATGCATAATTTAAATGTATATTTATTAATCTTTCAACCGTTATTATCCCATGGACATGGATAACACGAATCATTAAGGAACATCCACAATATTTAATTATTAACAGGAAATGTTAACAGTGTCAATGGAAATTCCTCCTTTGAAATGAAAACATTTTTAGTATGATATTTTAATTAACCACTCTATCAAACTGTGCATAAAGATAAAGGAAGACGTCATACCATTGATTCCTCATCCACCGTGTCCAAGCTCAGAACAGTTATGTGGAACCTCACAATAGTTGATTCCCCTCCACATTAGAAAAATACCAAATGTAGTTATTAAATAATCTTATAAAGGAAGTTATATATTAATATCGAGATTTACAAAATAAGACGTTTATAAAATACGTTGTTAAATCACTATGCTAATTTAAAACTGTAACTACACTTAGTAGAAACAAATACGTGATTATTTCTCCAATATATATACATATAATTTAAAGAAAATATGATTTATCAGTTAAACCGACTTCAACCTTATTTCAGTCGTTTCATCTCAATGGCAAAAACAATATTTTTGGGGGACTTTGTTGAGACACTCGACAATCTTTGGTTATTTATAATAAACGTGAAGATATGCAAACAAAATTCCCCAGCTTCTAAAGAAATTATCCGCTCAGAATGTTTCTAGACATATAAGTATTCTAGTTTATAGATAGGTAAGTGGATGTAACACACGTGGAGACCGCACTGTTTGCTTTTCTTTTCTTTGTTTCTTTTTAATTAGGCACAAAGCTACACATTAAATTCTATATTATAAAGTCTAGTCGTTTTCAGGATACATAACAGAGTTTTTAATTTGAATTAAATTCTATATTATTTTATTACAAGTTACAACTTTTACAGTAAAGAAGATTATGTTTTGGATCAGTGATCGAAACGTTGCACCTATTTTAAGATTATTCTTCCTTACTCTAAAAGCTGCAAATTGTAATGAAATAATGTTTACAATCAACAAGTAAACTCAAAATAACACCGCAGTCCTCCGGTTTGTTTGTTTGAAGTTAAGCACAAAGCTACACAAAGGGCTATCTGTGCTCTGCCCAAATTAGTAAAAGGGTAGCCCAAGAGTTGGCAGTGGGTGGTGATGACTAGCTGCCTTCCCTCTAGTCTTACACTGATAAATTAGGGACGGCTAGCGCAGATAGCCCTCGTGTAGCTTTGCGCGAAATTCAAAACAAACACTTTTGGTTATCATAGCTTTGTCAACTTTTTCACAGTAAACCTTTATAGTTGTAAAAATGTCCAAGAAAGTGTACTTTTATAAGTATGCAATTTATATTAGAATGTTCATCCGACTAAACTGGTTAATTGAAGTGTTAGGTTTCATGTGAAGTGCTGAGTATTTATAAATTTGCTAAGCCTCAATTCTTGTAAGTATAGAAAAAAACAGTTTTAGAGTATTTAATACATAAAAATAGTGTATAGCATTTTTAAAAATACTTTTTTTATTTTCCAAAATCAACTTAGTAAATACACAATATTTCTGACATTCAACTAGTTATACACTTTATTAAAAACATATGTTCGTCATTTTTCTTTCTTCTAAAACTAATTAAATATCTACGCTAATGCAACACGTGCTCGAAAGTTGAAGCTTAAAACATGATTTCAGTTATTAAATTTAAACTTGAGTATGACAACTGTTTATATCCAAACAATAGATATTAAAGAACAATATATATTTACTCACACACACATTAAGGAAGTCGTATTATACAATTTTCATAATAAATAATTATTATAATAATAACCTTAAAACTTATTTATTTATTAACGCGGATATCTATGGTTAGCGCGTTTCATCTCGTACAACAACATGACATGGCGAAACGCTGTAACCATAGATATTATACTAGGTGTATCCGATAATAGATAAGTTTAAATTCTACCTAACAGGGTACTTCCCTTAATTATTTAATAATAACCTTATCAAACATATATATGCCTGTATCTATTAATTGAAATTCCTATATTCATTTAGATTAACACTAATTTCTTAAATAATTATTATTATACTACAGGTTTCGCTGGTAGAAACTGAAACCCTTTTCATACTCACGAAGTGTTATAGAAACTGGAAAATGTTGTTTTGATATTTTGCTGCTAACGTCTGTGAATATTTTTGAATTTTTTTTAAATCAAACTATACTGAGAAATAAAACCCGTATAAATAACTTGATAAGATGGTCGAGACAGTATAGAATTTGCTGTGTCAAATATATATTATGATCTCCTACAGCAAGGCCACGTCGTCTAGCTGCTGTGTCCACCGAGGGGAATCGAACCCCCTGATTCTAGAGTTGTAAATCCGAAAACTTACCGCTGTCCCACTGGAGGACTGCCTCCCCAGTGGCAAAGCGGTATGTCTGCGGACTTACAACGCTAGAATCTGGGTTTGAATACCCGTGGTTAACAAAATGTAGTCTCCCCCTTTCATCAGGTTCGAGTATCAGTAACAAAATTTAGTCTCCCCCCTTTCATCAGGTTTGACTTGTTTTTCGACTCTTTCTCACGCTAACACAGTATAAACTCTCAATTACAACAAGTTCCACTCTTCGTTGGTTAAGAGTAGAATGTTGGCGGTGGGTATTTTTGATTAGCTGCCTTCCATCTAATCTATCACTTCATGATTAGGGACGGCTGGCACAGATAGCCTTCGAGTAGCTTTGCGCGAAATTCAAACAAGCAAACTCCAGCAAGCAACGATACTGATTAATAAGGCCCACCTTCACTGCTCACAGGAATACAGGAACAGTAAAACGAAGCCAAGGTATAGTTTAAAAAAAAAAGATCCCAAAATAATTCATTGAGGATAAAACATATAGAATGGTTTGCGCTTAGATTGTTTTAGGGCAAAGTCACATTTGGATAGCTGCCGTGTGTAGTCGGGGGAATCTAGCCCAGGAGTTTTGCGTTGTAAGTCCGTAAACTTACTGCTGACCCATCGGGGGACACGTGGAATAGACAGGAAATGTTTTTTTTTTCATGCTCGACAGACCAGTGTGCAATATTCCTTGGAATTTGAATAAGTGCGATTTTATTTTTGAAAGACAAGTGAGGGGTGAGATAAAAGAAAAGATAGGATAACTCTGACCTACCGACATGTTTTTATTATTATTATTATTATTCTTAAAATACAATGTCTGGTACAAATCCATACCAATAAAATACGACCCACTTCAGAATGGAAAAATTTGCACTCATTCCCATGACATCTTCTGTGAATAACCTTCAGGAATATTCACTCCCATTTCACTAAAATATCATATGCTCACGCCACTTTTACAAATTCCACGTTTTAAGGTCACTGTTTATTAGAGTAATGAACCACTTGTGGTCTTGTTTTTAAAATTTTAATCTAAATTGATCGAAGGTTTTTGAAGACTAGTTTGTGACGTCTAACAACAACCTGTGATAATATTAAAGTTGAATTTTTTTTCGTACTTCGTTCCACAATGTGTAACATTACAGATGATGCCTGATGCCCTTCTTAATACTGCTTTTGTTTGTACCTGAAATCTTACAGTAGCAATCAATGTCGACAACCGTCGCCTTTGGACAGCGACGATCTGTTCGATCTTACACACAAATGCGAATGATGGGTGGGTTCTTATAAAAACACCATTTTCGAAGCCAGTTAGTCTATTGGATCCTCTCTGGAAGACATGATGTTTTGAAACTAAACATAACTGGTATTGGTTCACACACACTGTAAGCATCTGGGATTGTTGTTACTTGTGTGATGGTTTGTGTACTTCTATAAAAGTGTTTGTTTGTCCGTTAAAACTAACAGATGGTTTCATTTGTTTGTCCAGCCCTTCTGTATATATATAGAGGATGTAAACATTATATCAAAATTATCTTGAACCTACATCAGGAAGACTCCTGACAAGCACAACCGATATATACAGTCGCTGTGGAAAAGCATGTATCAGAACTACAATTTGGCATTGTTTGGCGTTACTGTGATGCCATTGAAAATTGATTGGTTTTAGGAATGGTACGTAACATAGTTTTTGGACGCAAAATATTCATGCAATCAGATCATTAAAATGTGTTTAGATCGGATATTTAGAACAGCACTTAATGGCAAAGGAAAATAAATCAATGTCGATCAAACATCAGATCCGTACTGAGAGTTTCGTTTTTGTTGGATGTCGAGTAAAGCTATTCGAGGGCTATTTGCATTATTCGTCCTTATTTTTGAATTTATAGGTTACAGAAAAGACAGCTAGTCAACACCACCCAATGCCAAGTCGTTGGCTCCTTTTTATAAACGAATAGTAGAATTGATCGTCACATTATAAAGCCACCCAGGCTAAAATGGCGAACATATTCATAGATAGGGATTTGAGCCCTAGACCCTCAGATTGCGAGTTAAGCGCCCTAACAACTTGACCATGTTAGGCTTAAATTTCAGTGTGACTGCCAACGAAAATCAACTTGAGTTATAGTGAAGTTACGAAAACGTCTTGTTTACGTTGTGGCCAGTTCTGTGTTTTGATTCTACGTTATTCCTCATGAATTGCTACTAAACATTTTTACCGAAAAAACTCACTATTTTTGAAACACTAAATAAAAAATAACAATATTTTAAATGTCTACTTTTTCGGGTTCTGGTAATAATCAGATGCCAGATATTTGAATGTAAGAGCAAGAATATTCGGCGAAGGGTTTCGATCCCATGACCGCGTATATTATTCTATGCAAAATAAAAACAGCTTTAAAGAAATAAAATGGACTATCTGTGATGTACCCACCAAAGGTATCGAACTCCGATGTTTAGCGTTATATCCACCAAGCTTAGCGCTTAGCAACTCAAAAGTGAGCCTCTTAAAGAAAGTATTAAATTTACCAGTATTTCTGTGAAATTCTTTAATACAGGTAGTTCACGTACAAAAAGTGTGAAGTTATAATATGTATTCATATTGAAACGTCTATAAAAGGATGTTATTAACTGATTTTCCGAACTTGTTTGGCCCGGCATGGCCAGGTGGTTAGGGCGCTCGACTCGCAATCTTAGGGTCGCGGGTTCGAATCCACGTCCCACAGAACATGCTCGTCCTTTCAGCCGTGGGGGTGTTATAATGTGATGGTTGTAGTCTCACCTTTCATCAGGTTCGACTATCAGTAACAAAATGTAGTCTCACTCTTTCATCAGGTTCGACTATCAGTTTTTGTTACTGATAGTCGAACCTGATGAAAGGGGGAGA